CCGGTCGAACAGCCAGTTAGCCGAGGCAGAACATGGAGAGAACGGGATCAACTACCCCGTGAAAGAACCGGAGGGTACTAGTCTTATTCCGCAAAACCAAGACCTGCCCTACGACAACCGCATCTTTCGCGTACTGGTCATCTCTCCGGCGGGACGATCCATCAGCCAGTTCAAATCTGTTGCCGAGCTCCTTGAAGGCCTCCTCCTTGAAGGCCTCTGTGATGCCATCAAAGTGCACCGATCACTCTACATGGATGGGAAGATTCTGCACCGAGACATCTCGGAAAACAACATCATCATCACCAACCCGGAAACAGCCAACGGCTTCAAGGGCATGCTCATCGATTTGGACCTGGCTAAGGAAGAAGGCACGGGCCCGAGCGGGGCCCGCCATCGGACTGGTACGATGGAATTCATGGCGATTGAAGTGCTTCTTGGAATATCGCACACGTATCGTCACGACCTTGAGGCCTTCTTCTATGTCCTTATCTGGCTATGCGCCCGTCGCGGTTGGGCATTAGTTGGACCTTCAAGAAAGGTGGTGACCAAGTCTATCCTTTCGCATTGGTATACTGGAACATATAAGGACATCGCACGAAATAAGCTTGGCGATATGATTAAGGCCGAAGACAAAGGGTTTGGACTGGTGTTGAAGGACTTCCCGTCAGAGTTTGACTGCGTCAAGCCGCTTTGCAGGGAGTTACGGCGAATCCTATTTCCTATCTACGACGGTGACCTCTTCACCGGCACACCACAGGAGCCCGATATACTATACGACCCAATCATCAAAGCATTTGAGGATGTTTTGGCAGATATTTGGCAAAGAGACAGAGATAGAGACATGATGGCGTCTCGTGAAATAGAATAACTCATATCTCGCTTACCTTGCTTCTGGTTCATTCGTGAGGGCTTGCTTCGCACCGATATCGCCAGCGGTTGTTTGACGAATAACACTGTAACCACGGCATGATTAAGGATGTCCAGCTATCCATGGAGGATACTTGGGGGAGACCGTTGAGTCACGCCCCGTGCCTCTAACATCCGACTCGTTCTCATCAGAAGTTGATCGCCGAGCCGCAGGTGAAGTACCTGGCAACGTAGACTGCGAGCACGTGTGGTAGGATACATGCCATAGATGGCCCTCTTCAACTTATGAGCCATAAAAGATTGTCAAAGAATGCTTCGAGATCGTGATGATACGTATGTGAAATTCCGTGAAGGACTTCGATCGCCATAAACTCCATCGTGCTTGTGAATGTGTTTGATCCGACGAATCGCTCGGACGGCAATAATAAGAACCGTCTGATGTCAGTAGCCTCGGCGAGCCACAGATCCATGTAAGAACGTAAAAAAAATGCTTCGAGATCGTGGCGATAGGTGTGCGAAATTCCTAGGACTTCGATTGCCATAAATTCCATCCGTGCCTTTCCGATGCCAGGCCCCATTCGGGCCTCTGCCTTCTCTCTTAACTTTGCTTCTGCGGCAGGAGCGTTGGCTGGTTGGAACCAACGTACGTTACGACTGGGCAACATATGTCCAGCATGGGAGGACATGGGCACGAGTTTTTCCGTTGGAAACTGTGTAATACAGTGCATAACGCCATTACTTACACTCACCACACGGATCTGCTTACACGGTCAATAGCCATATAAAGCATTTATCGGGCCCCCCAATCCCCCGCCACGTCATTTTCACAACCAGTGTCATTTTGTATCTATAATTCATTCGCCCCTTCCTTCCAACCTTTACGTCCTTCGGTCTTTTACTCTCAGTGTTGTAGGTTTCTATCGGGAATGGATCCTCTGTCGAGTTACCAGATCAAGAATTTCTTCCAGAAGCACAGCCCCATCACCATGAAAGCCTGTCACGTAAAGGCCGTCGCTCTTGCTGGTGGAGGGGTCGCTGAGCCCACGCCTGGGCAAGGTGCACAGAGTTACACAGTCCGAATAACCAATGGCACGAAGAAGGTCATTGTTCAGTTTCGTGATCCGGCCTACCCACTGGACGCCGACCTCGTTGTCGCCGCACAAGAGACCTATGGGCAGCTGGTGCCGAGCTGCAAACATCTTGAAGGACAGTTAGACCCACTCCATGTGTATACGATGAACGACGTCTCTGGTGTTGGGTTTAATACTGTACGTGACATTCTTCTCCGTCCCGAGAATGGCCATCTTCTGGCGCGGACCATACAGGACTTTGCAGTGTGAGTCAAGCCCTGTGATGTCCAAGTTGAGGTATTGCAAGTGAGCTGTAACTTGGAAGGCAATAACGCAGATTCTGCGCTGCTGCGTGGCACAACAGGCCGGCCTCGATGCCCATCTGGACCAATGACTCGATTCAGCTCGATTACCTATCCCACCTTGAGTGCCTCTCCAACGGCCTTCCCGACCGTTTTCAAACCCTGTTAAATGAGCTTAGGGCCCAATTGCCGTCCCTTTTTGAGGGAGATTTACCCATGGTGATTAACCACTGGGACCTCCTCGAGAACAACATACACGTGGACGCACAGACAGGCTGCCTTACTGGTATCGTGGATTGGCGTGATGCCAGAATGGGCCCCTTCGGCACTCAGTTCTGGGGACTTGAGAACATCCTCGGCATCCGGACGGGAGGTGGAATGCGCTTCCACGCTAACCACATCGAACTTCGCCGATTGTTCTGGGACACGCTCTATAAGCGAATTGGGGACGTGCCTGAGAGCACACGAGCCGGGATCCGGGCTGCGAGGATGATTGGCATCTTCTTTGCCAACGACGACTTTGAAGACGACTTCCCCGTGAAAGAGGGCACCAGGGAACTGGCTGTTCTCGAGTCAGTCACTCTAGGATTGCTGGACGTATACTCTATTGATGCTTCATAAGTTATGCAGACCATAGGCTAGCATCTCTAATGGCAGCAAAAACGGAATGGGAAGCATCATCCAACAAACAAGGACACTCAGTAGTTCTTTTAATCAAGCATTTAAGATAAATACACTATTCAATTTATTTTCTCGGGTACATTACAGAAGTCAACATCAACATAACTACCATAGCTTCCTCCTACATCGAGATTGCGCGTCATTGATCTTCCAAAATGGGGCAATTGAATGGATGCTGTGGGCAACGGCTAAATTAGGTCGCCTTGAGGATGCTTGCCTTTACAAGTGCATCGACCAGCTGTTCGCCAGTACCGACCTCACTCGCATTTGTATTAATGTAGACCTTGTGGGTGAGATCGTTAACTCTCTTAGCCCAGTAAGTTCCTGGCGCCGGCTGGTCAGGAGAGGAGTCACGCGCCTCCGGGCCGTGGCGGCGAGGTACCATCCAGCTTGTTGGGACCTGCTCAATGTCGTAACCAGTTACAGCGGAGAGCGGCACTACCAAAGTTGCACAAGTACCTCCAAGTTGCACCTCCATCTCTGTAGTCGCCTCCATTCCTTTCCCAAATTGCCCAAAGTCGAGCATAAGGAGGTTGGTGAGGCCATGCTTATTGAGATAGTCGGTCCATTCCTTAAGGAACGCGCCAGAAATTTTGTTCGCAGCCAGCGGCGGGGGCCCCTCGGCGTGCTCTACACCGACAATGTCGGCCCCGATGACCTTGAAGCATGTAGAATGCATGTTACCCAAGTCAAGTTCGGTGATGTCGGTAGCCTTGGTTAGCTTGTATGGCATACCATCAAGTGGAATCTCAAACCGGACCTTGTCGCTGGGAAGGAAGTCGTGGCGATGAGCAACATGGGGGCGGAAGTTCGCACCCATGTTATGCCGCACAATGAGAGAAATTGTCTCCAGGAGATGCTTGGCATAGTTCTCCGCAGGCCTGTCTTGGTTCTCAATATAGGGCAGGTCGTTATACCTTGGTCGAGGGTCAGTATTTGGAAACTATTGAACAAAGGGCAGTGCTGGGAATACGTGATGCGAGAGACAGCTAGGTCGTTCTCTGTGAGAGGTTTGCCAAGGCCCCCAATAGCCAATGGGTTAATATAAGTGATGTCAACGGAAGCCATTGTAGAGGATGGGTAGATTTGAGGACTGAGCGCTCGTGAGCGTAAAAACTTAGAGATATGAGAGTCGATTGATTAGGTTCAAAGGTTAGTTATGGCAAGAATATCTGGTACAGGAGGACCTTAATATATTTATCATTTAGCTTCACTGACGGCTGCAGATCGGTCGGACATAGCCCAGCCGGCCGCTCACAGCTCAGGAGGTTGTAGCCTTAAGCGACATTCACCCTAAGAAGTAGTCGCAATGCAGGAGCTGTTACAGGCCATTGTGGAAGTGAGGATTTGCACATTCAATAAGGGATGCGATTCACCATAAAATGCTTTGGTGTTAGTGCTTATGGATGCTGCAGGTTGGTCTACCTTGCCGGGAGTAGTGGCGCTCGTCCACCGCTAGTACAGAACCAACAGGAAGAAGTGGAACAATACGCCTTAGATTTGGGTAGGGTACAGTTTCGCAAAGTACGGCAGCGTCCCTTTACGGAGTATGGGAATGAATGCATGTCTGTCAAACTCGGGACTCATACCGTATCCAATCGAAGGGGAGCTGCAGCAACACGCATGGGACATCAATGACGGTCATCCATTGATATACAAAGTGAGGCGAAATAATGCTAGTGGCGTCGTATGTCCCCAGCATCACCTGCATTTTATCAGTATCACATTCTGTCTTGGTGTATTGACAAGGAAATGTCATTGCGTGAGAATCCACTCAAGGGGTGTTAAAACAAAAATAGAAAAACGGGACACGTCACAGTATGCCTTAGAAAACATTCAATGTAGAAAATCTGTCGTAACTCTAGTAATTGTACAATCCCACTGTATTACAATATCTATTAATGACTACCCCTATTGTAATGCATTTTAGGTAAATACAATAGTTGTGACAATGCAACTTTGTGTCAACGCATGATCATAGTTATGCACGAATGGCCACCAACGTTGCTGGTGCTATGGGCTTCAGAATTCTGTCAGGTTTGACATACTTTTCTTCACGTTGCAGCCTATCCCGGTCGCAATTTGATGGACAAACAGGAACGCACCCCCAAAATGTACTGATGAAATGCTGCCAGGAAATAAGACTCACAAATGCACGAACTAATATGCATCTAACCAACAACGTATTTGCAAAATGCGACAAACAGCGAAATATCTCCTTGAGCACCAAATTATTACGTTTTTTGGCCCCCAATTTTTGACTTTGGGTACATCGACCCTCGGGTACCAGGATTCGCGCATGTACTGCAAAAGCCTATCAGACAAAAAACGTGTGCTTTCATCCCATCCCAAAAAGGTCAGTATGGCAGGCGGGAAGCGGGAAAAGGCCTCCCTGGCCAGTGAAAGCTAGCAGCTTGGTGCCGGCAATGCGGCGTTGCGTTGTGTAGTAATGCGAAAAGGAACTGTTGGACCATTGGCATTTTGAAGGGTGACATTGACTTCGTTGTTGGCGATGGTTTGTAGGTACCAGTTCGTACCAGTGGGTCTCGGACATGGGTTTTCATCAATCCAATTGGTCCATATTGTGGGGACAAAAACGTAATAATTTGGTGCTCAAGGCGATACCCACCAAATGGAGCCACCAACGCATCGACGGAATGCACTCACGAAATGCACTCACGAAATGCGCTCACGAAATACGGTTACCGAAGATAGTCCGTGCAGTTAATTTCCGCAATGGAGTCTTAGGCCCCCAATATGTCGTGTGACCTTCCTTCCAGTATTTTGGGCTGAATACCCGGTTCGGACTCATCACCCCCTGCCTCCTACCTTCATATCTTTGATTACTCGAATCAACATCGGTCGCAACGCTGCATAAAACAACCGAACTCCAAATCACTCGTAATGTGTCCGGATAACCCTGTCCCAGGTCTCAGCAAGGCTCTGACGGAGCAAGACTTAAGAAAGAGTCAAAACATGTATGTACATCACAAGGAACCCTGGGCCCCAGCTAACCTTGGTGTAGTTACAATACTCTTCAAGATGAATCACGTCAACCTGAACTTTCGGAATCCCATCTAAATGCACTGGCTGAACTCTTTGTTCGACACTTCGCTCACGAAACCTTTGGCGTACACTTGGCTCATAGTCATTTCCGTATACCTTCGAATAATGTCCTACTTGGAACGAACTACAATGGACCATGTTCTCGCTGGGCCAAGACCATACCATTTGAAGATATGAATCTTGGTAGGGTTCATGGCCATATATTTGTTCTCAGAGACAATACGTTTCACCCATACGAGTTCCAAATAGGCTCGATGCCTGATCCGCCTCAAGGTACCAGTGAATTCCTCGCTGAGCTTGCCGAGTATCTGGTTATGCACAACTTGACAGATCTTGTCGGACTTCAGGTTATACATCCTGATCCCTTGCCTATGTATGAGCTTGTGTTGCCTATGGGGACGATTATGATGGATGCCTCCAGGTTGACTGGGTGTCTTCCAACCAGACACACTGGTTGGAGATTCGAAATACGGGATGGCGAGCCACGAGTATGTACCCCTTATGAGACACATGCAAAGCACAGTGGCGGACACGACATATTCAATAAAGGCTCGCCTCTTCCAAAGTTAGACAATATTGAAGATGTTATGAACGTACTTGAACAAAAAAAGGTTCTGCTAAAGGTCTAGTTGAATGATCATATCAATGAAAACATTCTGAGCTGTTATCTAGGCTCTTTGTTACTCTGAACTAGCATCAGCGTCCTTGGCAGTCGTAATTCTTCTGCTTCGATAACCCAAGATATCGCCTATTTCTTCTTTAAGCCAAAGGGTGATGAAAGACGCCTTTTTCCCGAAGAATGAGTTATACCTCTGCTCCGGGTTTGTTAGCCATATCTCCCAAACATTTTGGCTGCTTGCCAGTGCAAATCGTGCGTCTTCGATGTTGACAAGAAAAGATTGTCCCACGTAGTCGTTTGGCTGTGTTACCTGCGCCTCCTCGCCCTTGTCTCTGCTGTCATGCAATTCATTTTGATCCAGCTTCCCATGAATGCACATAGTTCCTTGACAATTCGCCGGTGTTCCTTCCACATGTTGTCGTTTTGGCTCTGTGCCATCGTGTTCAGATGACTCGCGTGGTCGCTTGCTCTGTTTAATCATTTTTTCTGCTGCCGCCATCTCTGCCAGCTCAAATATCTCCTTAAAGGTGCCGCCTGACTTTTTGCACTGAGATATCAACTTTGTATGAATGGTAGGGTGGCGATGGCAGGTGAGATGCCGGGATCGCACGAATGATATAAGCCATGATGCTTTGAAAGACTCCCAGAATGGATATTTTTCGTACGTAATGGAGAGAACTTCAAGTTCATTCAAATTTAACTTTCGTACCTCATTAACAAACGGGTCGTCTTCCTTGCCTACATTTACTCTAGCTGCAAGAACATGGGGTCTCCTAAGAATTTTGTTCTTCAAGGGAGTAGTGCCTCGAATCAAGCTTTCGGTTATCTGCAGAGTTTCGCGCATCTTGTGTTTCTTTATCAAATGCTCGACGCTTTCGTCAGGAGTAATGACATGGAAGAAAATGTCTTCATAACTCATTCTGCCAATGGGGTTAATGTGTTGCTAAGGAAAACAGCATGAAAATGAAGGTGTTAATAAGGTCACAAAACAAGCGTGCGAGATGGAGTTGCGAGATGGATGTGCGAGATGGATGTGCGAGATGTACGCTTATTTTCAATTAATGACGTGGCTGGAAGTGGATCATGTGAACGGTTGACGGCGTCTTCAACAACCAATAGAAATACGCAAGAAGGATTAGCACGTGAATCTCCAAGTGCCTTTACGATTGGGCGACGAATTCCTGCTTGTCCAACACCTCTGACAAGGATGAAGCCACGGATGACAAAATACACGAATTAGTTTACGAAATAGCCATACGAAATGTACCTACGAAATGGATGTTCGGATGATTGTTACAATCATTTGAGAAAAGAGACATTTGCAGAGCACCCAGCAAGTCCACCACTAGTCGATTTGAAAATCTTATGAATGCTTGTCCGTGCATGGGGGTACTGTTCGATCTGTCAGATGCAAATGTGACATGACTTGCAGAATTTAATTTTGCATCTACACTAGGATACATTTTTTCGTGTTGGTTCATCAATTTAAGTATGATTGCAGTGTTGGTTTCGCGAAACAGGGTTGGTTTGCACACCAGAGGTGAACACATGCTGTCCAACGCGGAGTTCGGTCCAGCCCGTGGTCAGATATGGCCAAAAATGTTGTCATTTACGGTCTACCATAAGATATGACAGCGGATGGTATCGTCGTTTCCTCTCAAATGATGCTCAACTCATGACAGAGTTTACTCTCCCACAAAAGATAAATCTTCCTTGAATCTATTAAACGTTGATAATTATCACAATGTCGAATTTCGCGAACAGAAGCTTTCCCTGGACACGGAAAGCGCAAAGCTCATCCGAGTCACTCCGTCTGATGGACATCCCCGGACCTGACTCTTCGTTGATATGGTTCTCTCAATTCCACAAAGAGGCTACTCGTACCGACGCATCGACGGCCACTAGTGAGGAGAATACCAGTAGAGTTGGATCGGAGTCGAGCAACCGGGTCTCTTCACGGCAACAACTGCCGTCCTTACACAGCCTCTTCGGCCGCCCTCCCCCAGCCTCTTCGGGCCTCCGTCCTCTATTCGTTCGCTTCATTCTGCGTCCGAAAGGGAATCATTATATCTTGCACAGTCACCACTTGACCGGTCCCGAATATTACCTGGCGTTGGAAGCAAGAGTACTTCATATTTCCCTCCGACGGCATCACCTCCAGTATCACAACCTCGAAGGACCTACGATTCACGTCTAGATGCCCACTCTCTGGCTCGCTGTAACTCTGAACCACGATCTCCAAAA